ATACTTAATTGGATATTTCCTTCTATACTTTTTAGCACGTAGCTATTTATTATTAGCATTGTTCTTCCGACATCTGATTTCTTTTTAATTATAGAAAATGCGTTTTTCTAAGGTACATAAACCTTTGGGATTGACTGTATAGCCAATACATCCTTAAGGCGACGCGCAAAATGTGTAAAAAGTATTTCAGGTGCAGAAATATTTAGGCACGGTGTGCATAAAAAATCCTTCCTCGTTTCTTAGCTTCACCTTCGGAGATCATTGATTAACGTATCGTTTGATCAATTTGGATTTACCTAAATAAACGTACAGCATGCGTGAATGTCGTGTATGTCATCGTGTGTGTCGTGTACATCGTTGAGTTGCGCTTCGTGAATTCTTGAGTTGCCGTCAATGGCAAACTGTTTGTGTGTCGATCGAGAAAACAACTAGCCCGTGCGTAATAATTGTTGATAACTATCGATTCATTGGCGAGCAACGTAACCAAACGTGTAAGAAAAACATATGGAAAGAAAACAAGTGACGCGATAAACGAAGAAGGAGGATTCAGAGAATTAAATGTAAAGAACGCAAAGAGAATTTGTGCAATGTCTGAGAATGTTAATGATTGGAAAACGTTAGTTGAAGATGATGAAACGGGAGAGAACGTTAAGGTAGTCGGGATCACTTTTGAACGGAGGAAGGAGTAGAGAGGAGCATGTTTGTTTGATAAACGGTACGCGTTTAAAGCGGAAAAATGAAAGTATGCGAAAAAGAAATCATAAACAGAAAAAAATAAGCTACCTAAACCCCGGGTTCCGCTCCGTGTAGTTGTTTGATCCACGTTTGGACCTTCTCCGTCTCGTCTTGCAACAACAGCACTTCTAAGCATCCTTTGAAGTAGAGTGACGTAAAGCAGTTTTCCCTGAAAAATATTCCAAAATACAAATGCCAAGTATGAGTACGATCAACTTGCGACATGTAGCGTATCGTTATATCTCGATCCGTCCTTTATCTGAAAACAAGTCTGTAAATGTTGGGACAATCTTCGAATGAAGAAAACATAATTCGTTAGGTGCTCACGATATGTACCTATAATGGATGTCAAATGTTGATGGAAAAATATTTGGGAGAGAGAAGACAATGGAAAATTGATTCCTTCATCGATGGTTGTCCCGATGCGTAAAATACGACGCACGTAATATTTGCGAAATGTCGAAGAAATGAGCGTGAATAGTTACCTGCATAGTTGATGCAACTGGGGTTCCCGAAACAGGTTGTAGCAATCCTCGCAGATACGATCCAGCCGGGCAAAGATACTCTTGTCGTATATACCTTTACATTGGATATCGATGAAGGACCTTTTACCCAAGGGATGTCCATTCAAGATGCCAGCGTCCGTTAGACCGATGCACGACGAGACGAGTAACAGCGTCACAGACCAGGCTAACACGGAGACGAGTCTTGGACAGGGTATCGATACGATCGACGATTCGTTCGGTAACGAAGATAGCCTCGAGCAGGAGGTTTGCTGCACGCTCCAGGAATAGGACGACAGGTTTGGTGTCGACCACGTCGTCGACGATGGCAAGAAGATAGACGACGGCGGCGGCGGTGACGGTTGCGAGGACGACGAGGGCGTAAGCGATGACGACAAAGGCGACAGCGACGTGGAACCTGACGTAGACATCGTCATTGATGTCGCCGGTGACAACGAAACGGTCGGGATGGATGATCGAGACGTCGAGAGTGGCAACGCTAACGACGAAAAGGATGACGACGATCGAAGCCTCTGTTGTCGATGCATAGTCTAGAATCAGATTAAAAAACGAAATGAAAATCCGGCCAAAATTGTTTCATTCATTTGTTAACAATGACAGAATAAATAATGAATACAACTGTAGTTAGGAAGGTACAGCGGGTACCGTCGTAGGAAATCAGATTTAAATCGACGCTTCTTATCCGAGACGAAATAACCAGAAGAGAAGTGAAGAAGAAGAAAGAAAGAAGACTCGAGAGGATATATTGAGCAGTATTGAATTCTCAGATCGACGGGAGGATGAAATAATTATGAAATCAAAGTTAGTAAGAGTAACAAGTGAATATTCTCTGCACAGAATTGGATTGTACAGTTTGGAGAAAAAGAATCGATCTTGTTACTCTCTTTTCGGACCGGCCTATAAAAGCGATCGTCGGTTCTTGCCATTTTATCGGCATGACAGCAACAAACTGCGACAACGATGACGATGACAACGAGGATTGGTCCTGGCCGGATACCTACACGGCATCTCTTCATGAAGAGCGCTTCGAGAGAGGTAAAAGTAAAGATGTAAACCACTCGTAACCAGTCCCGCGGTAGTCGCTATGAATGGACCACACGCAGGTAGGCCCCACCTGTAAACGTCCTGAGCCGACAACTTCATTAAGCGGAGTTGAAACGGCGCACACCACGGTACTGCATAGCAATGCGCTCGTGAAGGCGAACGAAGGGTGCCTTCTTATGCCCGATGATACGGGCCAATGCGAGATTCTTCAACACGCTATGTTGCTCTCTCTATCTCTTTTTCCTTCCCTCTCTTCCTCCTCCACTCTCGGTCTGATCGAGCGGCACCTGCACACTCCGAAGAGGAGAGCGTTTCGCTCACAGGTTCTCTTTTTTCGGAACATAATCACCGCTCCCGGGTGGGATCTTATTTTTAGCCACCGACCGATTCTCGGAACTCTCAAACCGCCCCATTCTCTATATCGGACCCCACCTGGTAATTGCCTGCAGCCCGATAATTTGCCTCTAAAGTCGTTCAGTCCTGATCGTTAAAGATCGTCCCATAGATTTCCAGAACGAATATGATCACCACTCCGCCTATTGTCGATTATTCATCCCTCGATCACCGGTACTAAAGATATATACCACTGATCAATCTTACAAAACAGTTTCTCATTCATCAAATCACACGAATCTGCTTACAAACGGAAAAGTCTATTTTAATTCTGTTCTACAACTGTAATGAACTTGAAAGTTTGTTGCGGATAAAAAATAAATTAAAAAAGAGCACAGGATAGAGGGAACGGGGTTTTGGGGTGAAAAACTGTAGAGCCACGTTGGAGATCGCGGAACGGGTGGCGGAATACAAAGGGTGAAGAGAACAGAGATAGCGGAGAGCAGAGAGCAAACTGAGTGTACGTAAACGAAGAAAAAGTCAATGGAGACCGGTTACTCGACAGGTGAGGTCTTTCCTCGGCCGAGCCATGCACAGGTGTGCAATCTGTAAATCCCCCTTAGCAAAAAACTATACACTCTTCGACACCGCTTCACGGCTCTGACGTGCGCTCTTATAGCCGAATCATTAGTTACACACATATTTATGTTAGATGCAATAAGTATAATTATATGAACAGCGTCCACGCGAGACTATTTTATTCGATTCTGAAATCGTACCATCCACATTGTTAAGTCATCGTACGTTCTCTTCTAATCGAAGGAGCATGCAAGAGATATTCCAGAAAAGTAGCAGTGCGTGCGCGCCGTTTCGTTCTCTCTCATATTACGCAATCCGTTCCGAGAAAGCGGAATCGCGAGTCGCACACAATTACCAAAAAAGATGAAAAAAGGAAGATTGCGTAACCTTGCGATCCTTGTTTAAGCAGAGAGTGCAGTTAACGAGATACAAGCACATAGAATTATTCTCGAAACAAATAACGAAGTAAGGAGTGGAAAATTGGGAGCCGAATCGTAATATCTTACTTGTTCAACGGGCGACTCGAATGCACAGGAAAAACTAGAAAATTTCGGATAGCTGATGAAGTGTAAATGTCAGGTTTAAAGAGCGGAAAAAGGGAATAGTGCCGGAATTGTTGGAATCGAATCGAATCGAATCGGGTCGAGTCGGGTCCGGTCCGGAGGCGGGTCCGGTTGACGGGGATAAGAGGAAGGAGCCACACACACGAGACGAGGCGAAAGAGACTATATCGTTAGATACATGGCCGGCTCTTCTCACCAGGTGGTCCTCTTCCCGTGCCGGATGACTCAATCGTGAGAAGGAGTTGCTCGACGGGCTCACTGAGGGGACTCGCTGGGATCGGGACCGCGTGCGCTTCACGGCTTGCTCTCGGTTTGTCTGTCTCCTACCACATTCGTCCAATCCGTTTATACGTGTAAGCGACATCGACCAGTATTCTCGACCTCCTTCCCTGGCTTTCCTCGTGCCCATCAGCGAGCTTACGCGATATGCATTTCTGCCCAGACGCGATAGCGTTATGCGTACATAGTTATGTATTTGCGTAGACTATTCTGGTTAAACATGTGTCTTGTACGAATTTGATGAAACGCTCTTTCTAGTTTTATTCGCGCGTGGCGGATGAAATGCAGAAATGAATGACTTGATAAGCAGCAATCGAGTAGAACGGAAAGACAAGATGCTATGTAAAACGTTAAGTAGACAGTTTTGTTATTCGCGTAAAAGTAACGTTTTATGCTGTAATCTTGTTGTAAAGTATGCGTAGAAACAGAGCGGAGGAAGCGGGATAAAAAAACGAAAGGAGTCGAAAAAAAGTAAAAGGAACCATTTGAACGATGAGCCGAGAAGGATCGACGCAAAAACTGACCAGAGAGTAAAAAGAAAATAAGGAGAAACGAATCGTAAATCAAGCGACAACGAGGTGGCTAGAATCGAGCCGCGACAGCGCTACCGGTGATCTCTAAGTTGATCTACGAATTTGTATGCTCGGTGTGTCACGTCCACCTGTTATATGTACCTATTCGTTTCGCCACTCCTACGCATGTTCGTTTTCGTTCTACTTTCTTTTTTCCTTTCGTCGCCGACATAACTCGCAACGCAAGCATTGCGTTCTTGAGTTTACAAGACGGGGCGTCTTTCAACATATTTATTTATGAATGCTACTTCATGGTCGAATCGTGTGTCGCATATTACGGCGAAATCAAATTCCCGATGAAACGAGTCCGGATGATACGGTAGAGAGGAGGTAGAATAACAGAGAAACATTTATAAAGCTGAAATGATCGATAACGGAGGAGAGAAGGAATACCAAAGTCTGTCTGTCGTTCGAGCAAGATGTTCGAGAACTTTCTGCTCGACTCGAACGTAGTTAGAGCTACTTTGAAAGTGCCGCGAAAGTGCTGGTTATCTGGTCACGATTGAAGATCAAAAGAGGTGGGATAGGGAATGGTTGGATGGAAGGAGAGGCGAGGAAAGAACCAAAGGGAAGGGAAGAAGAGAAGAGAAAGAAAACGGAGGGCGAGGGTTGCAGGAGCGGAGCGAGCGGGAAGGTGAAACGGACGTGCGCGCGGAAAGAAGCCGAAGAACTGAACTCTGGAGGAGAAGGAGAGATAGGCGGGTTGAACGGACGACGGAGGATCGAGGCGGCGCGGTGCGGCACGGCGTCCTCGATCGCCGGGATCTTGGAGCAAAACTAACGATCTCCGCAGCTCGCTTGCAAGATCAACGCGACGATAATTTAATACACGAGGATCACCACCCAGGTGTGCTCTGACGTGTACAGATGCTGTTTGTAACCTCGACGAGAAGGAAAAGACTGAGTCGACAGAAGCGGGGAATATCTCTATACGAACTGTACATACTGTATATTCCAAATGCGAATACGGGCTCTCGTTCTCTTCCTTTCCCTCTGTCACGCACATGTTCTTTACCTCTTTTCACCTTTTCTTCTGTTTTCTTCTACATCTATAGTACGTATTCTCTTTTTACCGATGCAGACAAAATCACGTACGCCCGCACGCTCATACATCTACAGTTGCCAGTGGAACATTTCTTTTTATCTCTAATCGCGCATCCTTGGAAAAATTTAAACGTTATTCCAGAAGTAGGAATATTTCCGATAACAGCGAGCAGTACCAAATGCGGAGAGGGTACGGTTTTATAGCGTCACACATTTTTCGTAGAAACAGTTCGATACGTCGAATTGTTAATTATGGGAAAGAGAAAACAGAAGAGGATACATAATGTACATGCGTTGTTCGTTGATTCTCGAAGAGAAGGCTACATAAATAGAAGAGTCAATGACGTCAATCGTTCGCGTTAATTACATAAGGACAGTCCTATTAACCTATGCCGACGGCGAAGACGATTAAGCGTTAAATGATTCTGATAAAATCTCTGAGTCCGGTTATCCATCGAATCGGAAACTTTACTGCTTCTTTCTATTTTTCCAACGGAATATTCTCTACGCGGCGTACACTTGATATACATAGGATGCATACCAACGTATCCAAGTGTACAACGATTGAGCCACAATCGAGTAACATTTCGTCTAACTAACTCGATAGACCGATGCACGTCCGAATCTTCTCGTCCTGTATAATGCGTTCAAGTTTATGTAGTATTACGTGGAATGGGACGCACAGCTGGACAAGAATAAGCTTAACGACTGCTAACCTTGATCCATTTATAGCAATAGAATTTGACGAAGAAAGAGGCGAATTAAATAAGACACGCGGCGGAATGCATCAACTAACTTGGTGAACCCGCGGTAAAACTTTCATTAAACGTATGCAGCTGTGTCTCGTACGCGTTCTTATTTCGGATTAGAGCTGGACATCGCTCGTTTCATGGTAGCTGACTTACGTTCTTCTATCTAGTATACTTCGTCATTCATATAGGGTCAAGGCCCAAAGTACAATTAACGAGCTAGCAATCTTAATATTAGTGATCATTTGTATGTAATCATTCATCTAATCGATGAGAAATTTGTGTATAATTGGTAAAAGTATATCAAGTTTCTTGTAATGATTGAGTACGTTGAAGTACGAGCAAACCGACATGAGGCTAACGCGATTCTCTGGCGGCCAATCGTTACGTCGTAAGGCAATCGCTTCAAGTTATTTCGATGAAATTCGTGGAATAGATGAGGTTTCTCGTGACCGGCTCGAGCTCGTGTGCAAGGCAAGGCAAAGCAAGGCAAGGCAAGGCGAAGCGAGTCAAGCAAAGCACAGCTGCGTCCGCATGCAACTTCGTATGCAATGCACGTAGTCGACGCGCGGGTATTTGCGAAGGAATGTTCAACAGGTGTGTCGCTCGGATTGAGCTTTATGCGCGCGTACACGCCTTTCCATTCGCCCTTCCTTCTTCTTTCTACCTTTCTCCCTTCTGTATTCCAATTTTTCTGCTCACGGCGAACCAATAGTACCGTAGCCTACCGCAGTTAGTGCACATATATACCGAGCTGAAAGAGGCCGATTACGGATTAGAAAGTATCGCGATGGAACGCAGTTAATAATCAAAGTATCATACGCTTAGGTAAAGAAGATATGTTTTCCCGACTTTTCAACTTCCGCCCCGTATTTTCCCCACTAGTTTTCAACGCATTCAATTTCCTCATTCGCACAACTCTTTCCCTGAGACAAATTTACATATTCCGACTGTCGGAACACTTTAAAAGTATTCGGAGATTATCGGCAATAACGATCGAACAAATAAACGCCGAGATGGATGGAACATCACGAGAGAGCATAGCGTTGTGAGACCGTGATCGGAACGATCCGAACGAACGACAGTAGAAATGACTATCACAGAGCAGCCTTTGTCCTACATACGCGAGATCGTGTGTAGTTTGCACTTCTCGAGACTAACCGGGAGCCTGACCAGCCGGATCGCGTAAATAAATCGTGCACGATTCTCCCCTCGTGCTCTCGAGCTGGAGAGAACCATTCTAGGCGTACACTGAAAATGAGAAAAAACGCGTATTGCCGCTACCAACACCCGCAACTCGAGTAACACACGAGCACGACTGCGCGCGTTCGTGCACTTTCTCGCCGTTACCGACTTGTTGCTTTCGACATTCGATTTCGGTTCATGTAACTACAGAATAATGATACGTACTATGTACAGCGGTTACAAGAGCTATTGGCACACGCCACGTTTATTTTAACGGAGGCTGTATAAATAGAAGAACGTTTAAATTCAATTGACAAATCGATTTCTACACGTACGCTAAATTTACGATGCAACATTTGAGGCACAATTCTAATAAAGATGTTAAAGACGAGGAAGAATCGATGGATGGGCCGTCCTGACAATCCTGCATAGCCATGATACCGGAAACGCGAACAGTGTAACTGAATCGGATCTGTACGCAACGGTATTGTAGTTAGCGTACAAATTAATAGTGTAAAGAAGAATATGAGCAAAAACAGAAACAAGTGCAGAAGGAAGAACAAGAGGAGAGTCGCAGTGGATTCTGCTGGCAGCAACATCGCGATTGCACATTAGCTTCGAACAGTGTAGTGGGGCAAAGCCGCGTTCCGGCAGACAGCTTGGCGTCCTATGGTTCGCATTACAAGCTGTTGCTTTTCTCTGTCTTTCGCTTCTCTCGTTTCGCTTCACTGCATCTTGCGCTTCACGTTTTATCGTCTTTTCCATCGATACTCGAACGTGCCCGCGTCCACCTCTTTTTCCCTTTACTTTTTGCCCTTCGTTTTTATTTCTATCCGTTCGTTACTTTTTCATTTCTTTCTCTTTTGTCAATCGCGACCTCGGAGAGTCTACATGCGGATCTACTTCGAACAATTTTCATAAAGTGGCCCTCGATATGTATAACGTAAGGCCACCTTGCGCACGTGGCCGAATTTATAGTCTGCACCAATTTATAGTGTTATAACTCTCTCTGAGTAGGAGTATCGTCAGAAACTTTCTAAAATTTCATTCGGTCCTGATTCGTTAATAACGATTGAACCGTTCACGGAGTGAAATAAAATTCTGTGATACTAGAACCGATCGCAAGGCTGCAAACTATTTACGTTTCTACATGGTTACCAGAAAATGCGCACGCTCAGTGGGAGAGTTTCTCAAGAGGCGTGTCGCTGCAGCTTGGAGCTACAGGTGGCTGTACCTCATTCCTGCTACTCTTTCCCTCATTTCCTCCTAGCTATTTCTAGTATCTCTGCTAATATGTATCTACTGCTACAATCTCTACTACTCTGTCCTAACTTCCTGCGCTTTTCTCTTTCCTTTACCCAAATCCCTTTTCAAATTCTGCTAAATTTTCAACGTTTATTGCAACGTTGCTTTTAATTCGCTCATAGAAATCGATATAGTTTTTACAATTTCAGACATCGATTCTTTTCCTTCTCACATAACGGTTTTTGTTTTTATTCCGTTCCGTCAGCGTCTCGAGAAAGACGTAAGCATCCGAGCGAAGAATACTCTTGAATCCCTGTCCTTCCCGCTTTCTTGTATATTAGTCTTTTAAGCATGAGTCAACTCGTGTTTGGCCCTCGCCCGGCTCTGACCGAGTAAAAGATTCTCTGAATGAACTCTAAAGATAGAGACCCCCTGTTACCCTTTCGTTCTCCGTCTCGTTCCGACCTTTTCGTTTGTTCCTCACACAAATACCCGTGTCCTTTTTTCTTCTTCTTTCTTTTCTCTCTCATTTCTTTTTCTCCTCCTCGTTCCGTCTCTCTCTCGTCCTAACATCACTTCTTCCAGCAGCTTCTTTTCCCTTGCTCGTTAGTCTTCCCGATATCATGGTAGAATTTAATTCTTTGACAACGTGCGGTTAAATTTGAACGCTCGAAATTAACTCGTGCCTTCGGAGTACTCGTCCGTGAGAGTTTTACACTCGCTTCGCGGACTGCTCGATTACATGGATTTAAAATGAAAATTCAAAGGTATCCAGTAGAATAATATCGATAAACCTTTTCAACTAATATTACCGCAAATGAATAATTATCTACGCTAGTAAATATATGAATTTCATGAAAGGATAACGAATATTACAAGTATTTGCTTATCGTGTCGCATATCTTAATTTCTTGTCACAATTGCAAAGTATTTGTAGGATTTCTAAATGTTACGTAGACGAAATCAATAAGGCATCGATCGATGGTGCAAGATTGTACGTCGCACGATAAAAATGCAACGGAATTCTCATGTATGAAAGTTTCCTTCCGCTTTCTCATGGCTTTTGAACCTATTTTAATTTTCTTTCCTACTTTTTGTAAATGTATCTTAATATCCCCCTGTTCTTATCCTTTCTCTCTCTCTCACTCTCTCAGTATCTATTCTAAAATTTCTTTTTGCAGTGTTATTGCTTATTCCAAATAAAATGTTTGCTCTTCTTTCTCTCCCTTTTTCTTCATTTTACTCTATCTTCAACCCCCAATTTCAGAATGCGAGCGTGCCAACTCCCTCTTCTCTATTCTAAAAATTTATACTCACTCTTGATCACTCTCTCTTCGTGGCAAACAATAATCCGGTGAGGATCTTGGTCCCTATCACGAAGGGAAACAAGGATTTCCTACGTTCTCTATAGAATCAATTGATTATTCCAGATTCTTCGTGCAAAGTCTTATTCAAATTGAAAAAAACCTCACTGATAACCAGAAAATGATCGATTTTAAAAGAAACTATTTGACCGGTTCGCACTTTATCTAGACGATAACATTCGCAGTTGAATCACGGTTATGTCGACATGTCGCATCATCGTTTTCACGGTTCTCTTTAGCTCGCGTGGAAAACACTTCCTTCTTCGAGGGTGTTCCTCAAACGTCGCGGAAGGAAACATGCGAGACAAGTACCACCGCGGAACTGTGGTATCGCGATCTCGAGAAAGGCGCGCGCGCGCGGCAGAATGCCCGCCGCCCGCCTCCTCGGCCACCCACCCCCTTACGGCCCCAACACCGTCGAGACCGTCGCATCCAGACTGAACAACTAAGAGATATATCGAAGGACAGCCGTTCTCCGACGCGAACCATCGCGCACAGGTGGGCCGTGCGTGACAATACGATCCGATTGGCCTTTAAACTATACCTACAACAGATTTCCTTTTCGCTTCTCTCTCTCTATCTTTCTAGACGGACCACTCCCACTCCTTTCAATTATGTCTATTTGTCTGCCTATCCACGTTCATTCATTTTATTGGAGAATTTCGATGATCTGGCACGCTCGTCGATGCAAGATCTGCTAACCGCGGTAGGAATAAGGAAAGCGAGCAATCCATCGAATTGACTTTTAAATATCAACACAGTCTGATCTCCGAGGTAAAATCGGGTTACTCGAGGCTACATGCTTTCATCGTCATCAGCATATCAGCAGCTTCATAATCGTCACTGTTGTCGCTACTACAATCTAAATAACTAACAAAATAATCTTCGCTGAACATCATCTTGACTAAACAGTAACACGATCTTTGGTAACGTCAACGGTACTTCCACTTGTCATGAACATTTACTATCATTCATATCTATTATCGTGTCCTTACACCGTCATGCTTGTTTTCCACGTATATGGGGCATTACGCAAGGTTTCGGACTTGGAATAATATTTATCAGACTATAACTGATGAATGAGTAACGGACGTTATACGATTGTCTCAATGGAGAAAAACTTTGTGTAATTGTATTCGAAGAACTCATACGATTCACTGTTTTTCTACCGTTATGGTTTTTCCTGAATATCATAAGCGAAGTTAATTCGTGTCTTACCATAACTATGCACTTTAGAAACTGTCTCGTCACGGTTCGCGTAAACCTGCGTCACGGTTGCATCAACTAAAACACAACTGAAAGTAAATTACGTCATTTTCCCCTATTCAGAGCCATGTGTAGCAGGTCTTTGTCGAGTTTTCGGAAACCGTTTGACGTGAAAGTCGTCTAGAGAGGAAATTATTTTTTCCAAAAAGTGTACGTTCCGTTTTTAAAACGAAAAATTCTTACGCACAAAATGTTGCTTTATTTTCTCTTGAATTATACGAGTACTAACAGATCAGAAAAATAAAGCAAATTTCGATCAGAAGTGGAACAGAAATAGAATGTTGCATGAAACAAACAGGTATGAAAAAGAAAGGTCGGTAGAATACGGGTCTGTTTAAAACATGAGTTCAGAATTTTTCTGAGAGCAGTTCGATGTAGGCTTGTACCGAGGAACAATTAATTTTTCTTTCGAACATTCACTCTCGAAACTCACGTAGCGAATCGCAAAGTTGACACGGCTTCTCGTAGCGCGGTGACGGTCGTTGTCCCCCATGGTGGATTGTACACACCGGCAGCTTCATTTCCCTCGGCGAACACCGAATCGAGTCGAGATCAGTTCCACTGATTCGTTCAGAATTCAAGGAAACCTCATCGTCGATTACGGAAGATATTTGTTTAATGAAACCAGAGCGAGAGCGTAGCTATACGAATGCGACAGGGAAAAAAGCGCGTGAGCCTTGTCTCGCTTTCGTTCTTGCTAACGGATCACTTTGCTCCGTGTTATCACCCTTCTTCCGTTCTTCACGCTTTACAAGACCCTTACTTCATTTCTTTTCCTATGTTCTTGCCACTATTTTAGTTATATAACATCGAACTTTATCACGATTAAAGACTGTCAACAGGCGAGGAGGGTTGATAGGTTTTAATGTCTGTATCCGTGCCAGTCAGCGCACACGCTCCGGCTAATTTTCTCACAGGCTTGGCTTCGTCATCGGCTAGCTGTCTCCTCGCGACAGTCGAATCGTACGCGAGATGCGATCAAACGAGAAATCCTTAGAACTTTTTTTCAGCCCATCTCCGTTGCTTTCCGTTTCGAATCCTCGATTCGTATCTCGTTTCTGATTATTTCGTAGTTCCTCGAAATTTTTACCTGTTACTCTTTTTTTCTCCTCCCCTTCCAGCGTCGCTGCCGCCGCTACAACCACCACCACCGGCACCACAACCGCCACCTCCACTTACACCTTCACTTCCACTTCCACCTCCACCCTCGAGAATCACGTCCACCACTACCTTCACCTCCTTTTCCTTCGTCTATGCACCACTCCTTCTTCACCGCGTGATTTCTCTCGTTCGTGACCCTCTTCCTCCTTTCCTTCCTATTCCTCCTTTCGTTTCCTTTAGGAGAATTCCAACAACTAGCTTAACACCGACCTTCCCTCGGAACGAACAGAAGGTATGCCGCCGACGCTTCCTCACGCGACGACGCGCCTACGAGAGTTACGCTACATGCGTGCTTTCGTTCTTCCTTGTTCAAACGACCCCGTGTATTCTGAATGATCAGCAATTCGGCACAGACACAACACGGAAAGATCACACGTAGACCATTATAATACTTCTACCAAGTTGGAATTGACGAGCGGGTTGCGCCGAGACAATAGGGCGGATTAACGGTAGATGATAGATTTAAACACTTGGGAAGAAGACGATTGAAATATGAAAAATAGAATGTACGAAACGAAACGACACGCGGCACTAATTTATCGGGTTCGGAGCAAAGAGCAAAAGCAAGCATCGGTGATAGAGTAACCAATCACGGTGAATACTGACTCGGGATCAGACTGGTTGCGTAGGGCTGCGAGTCACGCACACGCTTCGGCATCCTCCTCTGTGTTGCGGTCGGGCCCCTCTGTAGGTACGGCTCTGCCACTTAACGCGAATGGACGGTTAAAAGGACGTATGTATGCCCTCCTGTACGAGTCAACCGGCCACTCGAAACAACTACGATCAGTCTAGGTTCCTCCGTAACCCGTTCATTGCTGACCTCCCTCCTTCGATGCCTACGCTGCACGTATACTCCTCGCCTGCCTCGCATCCCCCGGGATCCCCTTGCCCGCGTTTCGTCGTCTTTCAACCGTATGTCGTATCTACATACCTGCCTTTGCACGCGTGTCATCGTGATCGTGTTCTCCCGCAGTGAACCGTATTGAGTCACCAAACCGAACGGATAGATTGCTCCATTTACTAGTACGCGTATTGCGCCTACGTACGCACAAGCGTGATGATAAAGTATGTATTTTTCGTGAGATCTACTGAGGTTCCGCGTCTCGAGAAGAAGGAAGAAGTTTAATGAGCCAGGGAAAAAAGAGAGCATAGGACGAATGTCCTTTCCTGACGAACCGAACGAGCTATAAATAGCTCAGCGACTTCACTGAAAACGGAAAGTAGCTCGCCTTCGGGTTGCGTAGAAAATTCCCAGAATAACTTCGTGGATCGGTGTTTGCCCGCGGTCAGATTGCGCTGGCATGCACCCGCGATTATGGTAGCAATCACATTGAACCCGCGCGATTTGCCTCTCGGCTTCCCCTTTCTCCCTTTAGACGAATTTCGATTCGCAATTCTTATCACTCCGATGCAAATAATTCTCGTTAACCGTAATACTAGCTACTTTCTTCTCACTGTCAACAAATTTACTCAAGAGAGAAAACTGATATTTCTTCGAGAAGATGTACCACGTATTTACACGATTCATGCACGCGTTCTGATTTTCCGTATTACATCGTTCGGTTACATCATTCGATGCAGCCGTTCCTCAACGACCGGATCGAAATTATATTCCAGGCAACTATGAAAACCACGGTATACATCAACGATCGCACACTTAATTGGGAATGAAATGAAAATTTCATTAGGGAATGAAATTCTAGATGATCGAATAGAATCATTACAGAAAGAATGTTCTTCGCGCAATTGTAAAGCGCGTAAAAGCGTGAATTTGATACAAGAGGAGTTTTTTCGAGTTGACAACGAATGGGAACGCGGATAAAACATTGGAGGGCGTAAAATTACCATCCTTGGCGGGTGACGTTTGAGATACATATCGTTCTCGTGCGACCGCGCCAAGATGCAATTGATGTAAATTAAAGCGAACGATTAGAGAAGGCGAGGGAACGGTCGTTCTTTTCTCGATATATCGTATCGAGACAGCTGGTTGCATTCATACATGTACGTAACGCGCATGCCGTTTCATCGTCAGTTATTCGCCTTTTAAACGATCATGTCTATTCATTGAGAGGCTTGCTCAGAAATGGAACGCGACGACAACAACCGAATCAGTCGCACGAAGAGAACGTAGTTATCGGAATTGAAGAGAATAAAAGAAGCGGAGAACTCGAGTATTTCAATCCTATTAAAGATAATAACGTAGTTTGGAATAAATCAACGAATCGGTGAATAAGATTTCATACGAATTCACTTTTAATCTTTGGTGCAATGTGGTCGATTTAACGAAATTGAAACCGAAGTGAACAATTGCCGATCGTTCACTTTCAGTTCTACCGAATCAATCGTGTTCTACAAACGAAGCAAACTATGTACGTAATACTTGGGTATACTTGTCGCATGCCTAAGGGTGACTTCCTTTTGACGCTGTTCGACTGATCCCCTTATGACGTACCTTACTTACATACAGTAGTGCGCGCTTAGTATACACTAGCTTACGTACAATAATTTGCGGCAAAGTGAATTTCAAGCGTACACTAACCAGGCATCACTGTAAGCAAGTACTTGTACGCATCATTCGTTGTCCTGTTTCGTCCCATTTTCGCGCTTCATTCCCTGGTCACGATACGATACGCGATACTCGAGACATTTAGACATACGACACTCGACACCCGACACTGAATACCGAGGTCAAATTCAAACCTTAGAGAGACGACGATAACGTTACTTATGTTAAGGTCTCGGATCGGAGTCGTCTCCAAAACCGGAACACTTTCTGGTGGTCGATCGAGATATCAGCGACTAGGAATGATACTTTTCTTTTTTTAATCGGTATCTCGAAAGACGTACCTTGATGCGGTAGTTTCTCGAATAGGCAGCAACGGCACAACGAACGGAATCCTTCTGATCTGAGCGTCGCGGCGCTCAGCGTCTAATATACACCTCACGGCGGGTGTTCGGTGCGCGCGTCCTTCTCTTCTAGGGAAAGAACCCCTTTCTTCGCCACCCCTTCAATGCCGCCCAGAGAATCGCTGCCCCCCGGTTTCTCGCGTCAGTTTCGAGTTACCTCCCTCGGCACCACCAGCTGCCCGCCTAATTGCGAACAAGCAGAAATAGAGCCTGCAATCTTCTCTCTCACAAATAACGAGTAGCTTACGTTTTCCTTTCCTTTCGTTCCGGCGTCTTCCCTTACGTCTTTCAGATCCTTCATCCTCCTTCTATCCTTTGCTCTATTCTATTACCATCCATCGTTTCTCTGATTTTTTCATCGTTTCATTTCTCTCTCTCTCTCTCTCTCCCACTCCCTCCCACCGTCTTCTCCTTTGACCTTCCGAAGGCTCTTCTATGTTTTAAATTTGTCTCTCCTCAAGATTGAACTTGCGTACGTAGGTACGAGACGCAATATTGCAGGCTACAATTCATGAACTGACGAAGGGAAAGGATAGAATTGTGGGCGTTGAGGAGAGAAGAAAAGTCGGTTGATCAACGATAATTTTGGGATACACGTGGAACGGCGGAGAAATTGCCTTGAGTACACGTGTCGTCGCGCTCTCGCTGAACTCGTGGATGCCAGGGGTGCGGAGAACGTCGAACCACTGTAACCATTAGACACATGCACCCTACGAACACGCGTGTGTACGCTGGCGTATGAAAAAAATAGAAAGCCGGTGACGTTGAAAAGTAGCTGTTGATTTTATCTAGAGAAGAAAATACATAGTAATAAACAGGGCTATAAATAAGGTCGGCGCGTAAATTGCGAGCGAGCACGTCTGACAATTTGCGACCACCGCATTTATCTTATTTTCTAAAAAGAAGCCACGTTTCTGCCGCTATTTTATCCGGTTGTTTTTCTATCTCGTAGGAACGGCACGGAATATTGGCACGATGCACGTGCCAGAAAGCGTATTCGTATCGAACACATCTTCCCCGGAAGACGCGATGGTCTCGCGAGGCTATTCCGGTATTTTGGTAGCGAAGAATTGGGTTCTCGTTCATGGTTCCATGCTAGCTTCTGTCTTATCCCGATCTCAGGAGTTCGTCGACATGATTACATCCATGATTTCTGCAGATCTAATTATGATCCCAGCATCGGATCCACTGTTTAGTGACTTGACGTTTTGCATTTATCGTGACCACTTATTAGAGGGATCAGGAAGGATCATATCTCTTTGGAAATGTCCACTTTTAGATGATGCATTAAAGAATACTGTTCGCGATTGGACCTTCGAAAACTTTGATCGCCTCTTGTTACCAATCTTTCTGGTAATCAAAGTTGAACCTCTCGTGAACGAGATGAGAGGGCGAAAACAATTGAAGGCAAATAAAACGGAAGTCGAACAAGTGTTGCGTCAACTCGCGAAGCAAGCAGCTAGCTTGGAACCTACAAAAGGAGCTGCCGTCGAATTAATTTCGACACCTTTCGGAAATGCTTTTTTCATTGATTCCATCAGTCGCGGTGTCATTGGAAATTTGCTGGGAATCAACAAGTGTCTCATTCTGATGGACCTGACTGCTTTCCCCGGCTGCGAAGGTTCTCCTGTATTTTTAATCAACAACCGGTAATCAATCGCACTTTTTCTCTCTCTCGCTTCCCATTCAATTTATTCCTGGACGCTAATTTCATATAATCTACCAGCGGCGATAAAAGTATTTGCGGCATGATAATCGCGTCATTAAGCCGGTGCCGTGGAGAATGGGTAAATTATACTTTCGCTGTGAACCTGTTACCGTCGCTGAAGCTAATTCTCCAAAGTCGTATGCCGAAAGACGAATCTCGATATTCAACCTGCTCGACTTTCTCTTTCTCTCGATGGAATTGCCTCAACATCGGTGGGTAAACATTTATTTTTTTATTTTCTTTCCTTTTTTTCCGTTCACACGAGTTTCTTATATGGTCGCGTTTATCGTTACAGACTGTCTTGAAAGAAACATCGCGATCGTGAAATGTGGGCCGAACTGGGGCACCGGTATTCTGGTGGATGAACAAAGCGGAACGTTCATAACTTGTGCACATGTCGTTAGAACGGTACGGGAAAATGTGAACGTCCTCTAACTTTTTCCGAAAATGCTTACAACATTTCTAGGCATCACCAACAGGAATTGAACTTACAAATGGTAATATCGCATCGCGCGAAGACGGATCGAAATGGTCTGCGAAAGCGAATTTGATTTACAAAGCAGAGGTTGACGAACCTTACGATATCGCTGTACTGAGGATCGATTCCAAATCCAGAAATCCCTGGATGAGAGCTATCAAATTTGCCAAGAGACCTGTAAGTCCTGGTAAGATTCATTTAATTGTTCATTTGAGTTTTGCCTAAACATGTGTAGTATGCATATCGCGTAATGTATTCTGCTGAATAGCGTACTTGGGAGATAAAGAGAAATTGGCGTGACTCTTTAAGCTAAAATGTTTCACAAGGTGAAACGGAGAAAACAACAACCGCATTGACGTGATCACTATCACAGTCGTTCATATTAACAGTTATCCGTTCGGCTATATCGAGGATCGAGGCTTTTTTTATAACGCATCCACACCGTTGGTGGTTATTCCGGTTGGTTAACGGTAATGAAAGTAAGAATTAAGAATATAGGAAGATCATCGCGTATAAGGCGACACTGTGGCGCCGGCCATTGCAAGGGACAACACTGACCTTCTTTCATCGACAGAAAAATAACTAGGTCTAAATTAAGCCAATTGATCGTTCGGGGGTGGAATCGATGTTTCGTCGGTATCGAGCGGTACTCGCGCTGCTTCTATCCCTTTTTCGCGGTTCCCTGTCGCTCTTTGCTAGCCCTTTAATTCTCTCTGCCACCGTGTTCTTTTCTTTCTTTTGCTCATCTTTCAATTTCAAACTCCTTGCAATTGGGTCTAATACGTCTCTATTCTTAGTAACTACAAATTAGAGCATATACTAAACAAATTAAAAGGATTTCATTCGATACATGTTTAACACACATGTTTCATATTCTTGTTATACACGTGATACATCTCCAGTATGACCAAACACGATTGAGAGTATGAAGAGAGACTTTCATATTTCATACAAAAGAACTATTTCTCTTTTTCATAGGCGAGCAAATACTTTCCATAGGATTTCCATTCTATTCGAAAGACAGTCCCGTTATTAGCAGCGGAACAGTAACAAAGACATCGAGATACATGTTTCAAACCAATTGTTCAGCGTACAGCGGTGTTAGCGGTGGACCAATTGTTCGTCGCGGTAATTTTGAGATGTTGGGAATGATCGTTTGTAGTTTTGCTTCCATGGACGAATCGACTTTCTACCCTCGTTTATGCATGGTCATACCGATTACTGTTTTAAAGGAACCATTGGGCGATTATCTACGTACTTCTGGTAACGCATACTTTTTCACATTTTTATTATCGGAAAAATTAAATGCTATTAAATAATTTTCAGATCCCAAAGCATTGTCGAGGCAAATGCAACATGACGCAAATGCTACGACGACTTGGAATCTTCGCCCCTTTCTAGCGTCAAAAATGTGACAGGAATCTGAGCAATAGTAACAAAGACTGTTTCCTTTGCCAATTGTTTTTCAAAGATACAGAAGGAAATTCACAGAATGTGTTGTTTGGAAAAAATTATATTTTTATATAATAATAATAAAAGTCTTTTATATAAAAACGGATGTTCTTCCATTTGTTAATTTTTAAATATATCGTTGTTTGAAAGAAGTTATATTAATCTAAATCCTGAGAATTCCAATTATTTTATCCAAACAATGATTTTAAGAAATTTGACCTATCATCTATGGATTCATTTTCCTTCTTGCTCCTAATTTCAGCATCGGTGTCTCTCTGTTTTATTGTAGGTGGTACAAAATTACCATCTTGTTGCTTCTGTTGCAGTTTTCTACTTCTATCAACATTGTGAGAGAAGAAGTTGGCTTCTCGTTTCGCCTGTGCAATCTCAGTCTTCAATCTTTGTTTCCGAACCGCTCGTTCGTAAGCTAAGCGTTCGCTCAAGTGAACCCATTTGAATCTAAACAATATTGTTACAAATGTATTAAAACAAATGAATTCACATAAAATGAGTCATACAGTAAATACATCATATTTAATAGATTACCTTGGCAGATATTTTATGTTCCACAGAACATCGTAAAATTTGCTCCTTTTCCTAGTTGAGATTTGTGTATTATTCAATGTAGCTGCAACAAATTTTGCTACCTTTTTACTTTCAAACTCCACCCAGCCTTCACTGAAGAATTGTCCACCAATTTTCTTTCGTTTCTTTGTTTTACTTCTTTCCACTTCTGTTGATGAAAGTACAGCATTGTTAAAAAATATAACATTTCACAGGTATTGTCTGAACAAATAAGTGTATTAAAAAGATTCTAATTAATCAAATCGAAATCATTGTAGTGAGGTTAATCTTTTCGCAAACATAAAACTTGTCTCTTGCTATGAGAATATTAACTAACCATTTTCTGTTAATTGTAGATAGATTCTTCCGATTTTCCCGTATTCTGAAAGAAGTTCACGAATTTTCGCGATGTTCATATACTTCGGTATACTTGACAAATAAACGATTCCACGTTTTCGTTTCTTCGGTTCTTTTGTTTCATCAATTTCCATGTTTTTCATTTGTAAATATTTTATACATCATTATGTACTTAGACGTTTCCGCAATACTGTACTATTATTTAACGTGATTTAACATTACAAATAATCATATTCAATATTTGAACAGAATACTGACACACAATCAATGCACAATCAATGCACGCATTGAGATTGAGCTCTATCTCAACGGGACTTGGAGTGTGAACTGTGAGAGGAAAGCTGACACGAGAGAGATGCAAAACTGTTGGTTTCGGTTACAATTTGTTTTTTGTATTTGTATTTGCAATTGTACAAAATACCTCAAGGAATTTCGGACAATATGCAAAGCATTAGAGACAGAAAGAAAAAACGTACCACACCTATGCGTGCATGCAAAGTCGGTTAGGAATTTTTTGAGTCACATTATCTATCATGACCTACCTCACCTCCCTCGCCAGCCCTTATACAATTAATATAGGACCGGAACCACCTATCTTGCATTTCTCACGGATTGCTGTCGCAACTACTTCTTCGTTTAGCAACAATGTATGAATCGTATGATTTACCATTTCTGAACTTAGAGCCAGACATATAAGATATATTATACGTTTTATTCTCAAATAATACTAGACTAATGTACATAATTAATTAATTAATGGAATAGATTGGTATATTTTTGCATTTTTCACGCAACCATATTTTCATGATTCTGTAGCCATCTGTCGAAGCTAACGCATACTCCATTGATCGAAGCGCTCCAAATAATTTGAGACGTGACTCGAACTTTTAACAAACGATCGCATCATATATACATATGTGCGTTATTAACATATGTGTATACGTGCGCATAAGTAAATTAACGCGTAAACGTGAACATTGATAGTTTATAATGTGATAAAAAGTGTACAAAAGAAACGAAAAGTGGTTCGGCAGCGTGGGTACAATCCCGTATCACTGTAGCGGACGATTGTCCGAAGGGGCCCATTGTGTAGTTGTCCTGTATACTTACAGATTTTGAAATTGGAACGATAACTGTGTGAAATCAGAAGGAGCAGTGACCGGGGATACTGACTGGTAACAGTCTGGAAGAACCAAGAATCGTGGACTGCGGGCTGTGGGCTGCGGAAAGCAGCAAGCACGAGCCAGCCCGTCCACTAAACAAAACATGGACGGCGTAGAAATAAATACGACCGTTTCGTCACAGAACGAGGGGGCTATCGTATCGACGGTAGAAATATGCCGTGTTTGCCTCCTCGGCAATCTGGTGATGCGTGACTTATTCCTAGAAAACGAGGTCGCGTCCCTTTCTGCAAAGGCGATGAGCTTCGCCAATGTTAAGGTTAGACATATAATTTAGAGGTTACAAACACAGTACAGAGTAGCGCCAAACCAAGAGCTATACTTTTGACGTATCAAGTACATACATTATGCGATAGGAGTTTTCTCAAAAGAGAAGAGTTCTCCCTGTTCTTTTGCATTGTATCTCTAACATATCTGATAATCAACCATGAGTTTCTTGTGCCACAAAATATTTTCTTGGAGCAAGAAAGATTATAATTCATGGTCATAATTTTATATCTCAATGTTACTTGGTTGTTTCAGATGTTACCTGGAGATGGTTTGCCGACACGTGTGTGTTGTATGTGTGCAGATAAACTTGAATCTGCATATGAGTTCAAGCTACAGGTGGAACAAGCTGACACAGTTCTCAGAGAAAGATATGTTACTGTAAATATGAAGGAAGAACTGTTTTTTAATGAAGTTGAAGTACAATTAGAAAGTGAAGAAAGGAATGAGCATGTAGAAGAAATGCATGTGAAAAATGATTACCAGAATGCTGATGAAGCACTTACATCTGTACCTATGTCTCAGGAGGAAAAGTCTCAACTTTTGAAGGAACAACTGGCTTTATTTCAAACAGATCAAGAAGAAGAAATGAGAGGTAACTAGGTTCATGATAAAAGTGGAGATATTTCATGTCCAATATTAATGAATTCTTTATGTTTAACAGAAGAAAATACTGACTCAGTAATCGAGGAAGTAATCGATCAAACAATGACTACTGAACAAGCATCGGAAGCTTGTATGAGCCATGAAGAAGAAGAAGAAGATTGCATGATTGCAGATGTTCCGAAGCATGAGATATTAAAAAACGAGACTAATGATTGTCTTGAAAATATGTCGACTGTGGAACACGATTATATATTGCACACGGAGTGTATGTTGCCCGAAGATCATCACCAGGAACAGGAACAACAACTTGCGTCGGAAGAATCATTTCAGCGAGTAGATTGTTCTGAGGAATCGTTCCAAAGAGTAGATTGTTCCGAGGAATATGCAAATTTGTTGGCGAAAGCAACTGACGTAACGACTCAAGAAATGGAGATCGAAACAAAACAGTTGGTAGTTGCGAACCGTGATTTCAAAGAGATAGATGAGGAGTTTCAATGTCAAAACGAGGCCAGAAGAAGCAAGCGTAAATTAGTTGGACGAAACGAAACGAAACTAGACTCTGTCGAAGAAAATTATTTCGAGAACTTGAACCTGAGCTCGAGACTGAAGAACGTTCAGATTGACCAGTCGGAAAAATGTTTTTTTCTGTGTTATCTATGCGACAAGGAGTTTGTTTCGAAGGGCGTATTAAGGGAGCATATGCACTCTCACGAAGAGGTCCGAAAGGCGTTGTCCTTAACGAAGAAAACGACGTTGGACACGCCAACGCAAAAGAGCATCTGTCCGGCTGCGAAATCACCACCATCGGGTAAACGATCGAACAAGTGCCCCTATTGCGGAAAACAGTATATATACATTATCTCGTATAGTAAACATTTAAAAAAACACGAACGGGAAAAAGAAGGAAGCGATGAACCGATGCCACTGGAAATTTCATTCCAAGAACAAGAATACAGCTTAGACCTCGAGGATTACGAAAACGAACGACGACATTCAAGTTCTGAATGTCGAAAGCGAGCAAAACAAAAAGAAGAAAATACAGAGATCGAGGACGAGGTAGAAGACGAAGAGAAGAGAGATGGTGAGGAAGAGGACGCAGGGAAAGAAAGCGAGGTAAAGAGGGGCGAGAACAACAATGATGACGATAATGATGGCGAAAATGAACAAGAGGATGGTTCGAACAGGGAACACGAGAACAATGGCGTGCGCACGAAGAGGTTCGCATGTGTCAAGTGCTCGGAAAAGTTTTACACGAAGCGTGGGTTACGAAAGCACGAAGCATCGCACGTTGATCTCAGGTGTAGCATATGCGAAGAGGAATTTGATACGTTAGAGAAACTAAGAAATCATAGGGCAAAGCATGTAGTCGAAGGTGTGTTGACCGAGCAAGATCTAGAAATGGGTGCGGAAATATTAGTCAATAAGGAAACAGAGGCTTACGAAACGGAAGATAGAGAAAGGGAAGACAACAATCAAAGAATGGAGAGTGCGGAAATAGATGAATTGTTGCAGAGGACAGAAAATAATTCGACGAAGAAAAAGGACGCACACCGTGGGACCGAGTACAGTTGCAAGATGTGTTGTCAGCGATTTACATCAAAGGATGTATTGCAGAAACACGTGGAACAGCAACATGAACGCACAAAGGTCTATAAGTGTACAGAGTGCAGCAAAGCTTTCGGGAATGAACTTACTTTACGCAATCATCTGATAGCTACGAATCACAAGACTTTCATACACGGTCAGGAGTACGATCCTAATAAACGTATAAAACGTGTCGCCGCGAGGGCTGCGCAAAAGATTATCGATAAAATTACGAGCGATACCGGTTTGGAAGATGACGACGAAGACGAAGGAAATGAAGCTAAAATCGATCGCACTAGTTCTGCGGACGGCAATTACACTCGGAATAAACGGGAAATTTCCTTGCAGAAAAAATATAAAAAGGAATTGGAGTGCGAGAGCTGCAACAAAAAATGTAGTTCGAAACAATCGCTGATGAAGCACATGGAACAACATGTGAAGGACGAGCAATCGGCTAAGCCGGAAAAGTCCAAACAAATGACTGAGAAAAAAGATTGGCACAAAAATTGTGCCAACGACGAGGTCAACGATACTGAGAGGAAGGATGATGATTCGGATTTCGAGAGCGGTCTGGATTGGACGATGGACAATCACGAATGCGAGAAATGTAAAAAACGATACAGCACGAAAAAATCGTTGTTGCGACATCAATTGTTACACGAGGAGCCAAACTTCGAATGCGATATCTGTAACGTCAAGTTCTACCGCAAGGACAAATTGAAAGCTCATTATGATAAGTGTTCGGAAAGAAATCCAGACCAAGTGAGGAAGTGCAATATTTGCGGCGACACTTTCGAGACCAACGAGATTCTACGAAAGCACAGGGCGAAACATGTTACCGAAGGTATTCTTACGGAGGAGGACTTGAGGGATATCGAACCACGACCAGCGGAGAGAAAGCCGGGCGAGAGAGTCGGCAGGAAGAGAAGGACGGATATTGTAGGTTTGGAATGTACCGAATGTAACAAGCGATATACTTCAAGGAAAGGTCTCTTACGGCACATTCAAGTTCACGAGGGGAAGAAATACTTGTGTGATATATGCCCGAAAAAGTTTTACCGGAGAGAACATTTGAAAATACACGTAGCCAAGCATAACATGGTCAAACCTTACAAGTGTACGCGCTGTACAAAACGTTTCATTAAAGAGGAGCAGTTGACGAATCATTTATCGAAACACGATCGGACGTTTAAGAAGACTAAGGAACCTGACAGCTCAAAGAGATTCCTGTGCGAGATTTGTTCCAAGAGTTTCACGCAATCTACGACATTGATTGCGCATCTCAGAGCACACAATGGCATAAAACCGTACGTCTGCGAGGTCTGTTCACGGCCGTTCACGACAAACGCTTACTTGAAGATGCACATGAGAACGCATACGCAAGAACGGCCGTACATTTGTCAGTACTGTTCGCGAGCGTTCGCGAGAGCCGACACGCTTGCCAATCACTTGACCTCGCATACGGGTGAAGCTAAGTATCACTGCAAGTATTGTCCGAAGAACTTCCGTCGTCTCAAATCCTTGAAGGAGCATGTTTTCATTCACACTGGACAGAGACCTTATGCGTGTCCGACCTGTGATCGACGATTCAATAACAACGGAAGTCGATATGCTCATAGTAAGAGGTGCAAGCAAAATTTGGTACAGAATCAAAATCGTGCACAAACATTGGCCACACAAGTGCAACCGGTTCAGAATCAACAAAGAATAACATTGGAACAGGCCACCATCGGGCAAGGACAAATAGTGAAGGCGCAAAATATTAAAACTATCACTATTACCAGGCAAGCGGAACCGGTTACTCATCAAGTGATGCAACATCAAGAAATTTTGATGCCTTTAATACTTCCCCTTACGGTGACTCTTGCTGGTGAAGAAGTTATATTACCGGAAGGAACTAAGATATTTACTACGTCTTAACTTTACGTGTAACTTCTTCACATGTTGATCGAGTTTGTTATTCAATTTCATGTTTAATACCAAACTTTTTTCACGCGTATTCTCTAAATGAGAATGGACTGGAACAGAATGGTAACGAAAACAAACGAATATTTTCGACTTTGTACAGTATATTGTATATCCTTGTTTATATTTAAATATGAGCTAATACTGCTGTATATTACATGCATAAATTGAACTTGATGCTACATTGAGTAAAGTTCTTCTGAGAAAGAAACAAACAGTGGACGATCGCATCTTTTACATGTTTGAAATGTTTTTCTCTGGAATAATTTTATTATTGAACGCGTATTTTACTACAAGCGTTTTATTATCTTCGACGTAAAATAAATTTTTCCAGGCATGGAAAAATAAGTGCGCTCTACACATGCGGTCTCGAATCAATTTGTTTACCATTTGCGCGTCTTTTCTGGGCTGTGTTCGCAATGTGCGAAAAGCAATTAGACACGCAGAATTATATTATGTCTGTATTAAAACATAAATACATAGCACGCTTATGTACTTGAACAAGAGGTACGCAAATATCATATAAAAAATGTTTTATAGTATCTGTTTTGTTGCTTAGGTATTTTATTATATATCATTAAGCGTTCATATCAGTCTTACTGATTTAAGTCGTTTTAAATTAATACAAATGTTACGTTGCATGTTATCACAATGTTAGTAGTAACTCTAATTCATTCCGAAGAATCCCTTCGTTGTGGTACTAGACTTGATTGATAAAAGAATCGGCTGAGAACGATATATATGTTCTTCGTTTCTGATTCGAAAAATTAATTATCGTCGTATATTACTATTATATAAATGTAAATACAGATTGATTTTACCCAAAGATTGTATTATAAATTGCATAAAAGGTGCAACATAATTTTTCACGAAACATACCTTTTAAATATTGGATTACGACAGGAAAAGAATTATAGACTGTACAAATATTAACTAATTAATAGTAAGAGTGAAATTGCATTCTTTGTTCAAGACGATAATTAATAACGGCATAGAATAAGAATGCAGTCTTCATAATATTTTTACGATCCGTTAAAACGATACGTTTCATTGACAAATTGTTCTAGTTTTAAGAAAGATTTTTAATCGAAGTATAAAGCATTTTGCGATTCGTGTTTTATGGATATTGTATTCATGTGTACATTGATTCAATTACACATCACAATTTGTTAACTATCAGGGGAAGATACAGATACTAAAGATCTCCGAGTTACATTGCCTCATTGCGGAGCATCGCGTTAAACAAACAAAAATTACTTTCAGTAAATGTGAATAGTGATTATGATTTATTTGTACATATTACGTAAGTACTGTGAATAAAACATCCGTAGCATCAAAACTGACATTATAAAGTTACATTAATTTTGTTGAGCACACAATCGTTATAATCTACGTGTATGAGAAAAAGTTACAACAAGTTACAATTCTTTATTCAATCAAATGAAAATATCAATGTATCGAAATCAAAACTTTAAATTCATCGAATCAATAAACAAAAACAGACACAAAACAATAAATAAATAGAAAATCGTGTAATTGAAAGGCCAAATCTTCAACCATCGATTACCCATAGAACGTTTATACCTGACGGACCTAAGTTAACGCGGCCTAACATACCATGATCTCTCGTTTTGACGATATACAAGAATAATAGAAGCGTATGAAACAAGTTGTTTCTACCCTAGAAAAATCAAAAGAAAAAGAATTAAACCTAATTACAGTTAATGTGGAGACAATAGAAAAGCGAGGTCCCATGATTCCACTTACACGTTGTATTTCTTCGTAATCATTGGGTGACGAATCTCCGGAATGTGCCAGACAGTAATGTGGTGGATTTATGGATTGGGACACTATGATGGGTCCTTTGCTACGCGGTAAACTCATTCCTGACCTAGCCATGTATCTTGATGTAAACGGTCGCGCATCAGGTTGGTCTAAAGGAGCTTCTAGTTGCGTGTCCATGTAAGTCGACACCAAGTGCATAACTATCTGTAGCAATAACACGCACGACTACTTACTCGAATCATATCCTATAAATGTTCTATAACAATTGAATTACCGCTGAATCGGTCGGCAAACTGGCATCCCAATCTTTGCCATTGTGAAGTCCACCGCCATTCCACTTGAATTCGCTCATAGAACCACTATTCGCTAAGATTTTTATCCTCTTAATTAAATACTCCTGATTATTAGTAAGTTCCAAGAAAGGCACTAAAGTTGGTAAGGTGGGAATAGCAGTGACTAAAAAAGGGGCTTGTGCGAGTTTTCTCAATCTGTCCAGTCCAACACATCCTGGTTGAGAATCACTCAAACCATGTCGAACCAAGGCTAAACATACATTGTCGATTTCAGTTGCCACTCGTTCGACAACCGTTTTGCTGATCCACTGAAGTAGTTTATACAATTCCTTCATTATGCATTATATTTTCATAGGCACTGTTCATTAAACTCGAGTTTGTTCTACTTACCAATCGAAGATTAGCTGTCCATTCATTCGCTTTATTCGGGTCGATTCTATATTTTCTCCAAACATCGGGTGTCCCAAACAAACCCCTAGGCGAGCTTCCTTCTTCTGTACCGGGACTTGTCGATTTTGACTTATCTAAAGCAAGATGAAATGTTTACGGATAATTTTTAATTTATCACAATGAAATTTCTGGGTAAACGAACATACCGACAATAGGTGCTAATTGATAAGCGCATCTTCTTAACAATGGAGAAACCTCTCCAGGATTTCTCATCGCTGGATGCGACCAAAAGGAGCTAAGTAAATTAGATGGCTGATCGATGTCTGTCGACAGGACATGTTTTTTTTGTCGAGCTTCTTCCAGATAATTTTGCAACTCCTTTTCACTTTGTATCAAATCCTCGCTAGTCAGGTTGGTGCTCATCGAGACATTAAGAGATTTGTTAAAAGATCCATTAGGACTAGGTGCTGATTTTTGTGATGTTGGACTACCATATTTAAAAAATGGACTCGATGGTGAAAAGTCCTCTTAAAAACAGATTATAAGTACATTCTGTAGAGAGATATTTCAAGTAGTATTGAAATATAAAAAATATTGTCATACTAGATTCACTCAGTCTTGGAGAGCCAAGCGGAGTTATTCTCCTGTTGAAGCTTATGCATGATAAATTTAATGGAACTACTGGTTCAGGCGTTTTTTGAGATGATACTGATTCATTTCTGAAAAGGGGATCGTCCTCTGATACACCTAACAGTCGTCTCTGCTTAGGACTCAACAGAATTGGCCGTAGACTGAAGCTAGCCCAGGCATATCTAACTATATGATAAAGAGCGTTTAATCCAAATATTGAAGCTAAACACCATTCTGCCCAAAAGAAGGGTTTGTATGCTTCACCTCCATATAATCTAAACAATATTTAAAATTAGTATCAATGAAATCAACAGTCTATCGACAGAGGAACGTGAGTGGCTTACATGTCAAAGACAAGAATCCCAAGTAAAGAACTATTTACAAGAAACCATGTGATGCTACTTCTTGCTTTGTATTGGGTCTGTCTTATATCAAGCGTTTGTTCTACCTGAGGTTTCGCAGTCAAAACTCTGAAAAGAAAATGATATATCGTAAGTGTACAAAGCCGAAATCAACTGGCTACGTAACCTTCTACTTAATTTTACGAGCTTATCATTTAACCTCGCATTAGGAGATATACATCGCATCGAAGACCGGAAGCTGCTCATTTTATTATTTTTTCACTCTTTCCTGTTTTCTTTTACCAGTTCAGCTAAACGTTTAAACGATCAAAATACGATATTGTCATGCTTGGAACATTCTCTAAATGTCTAAATGATGCCTGCCCCGGATGTCCATTCGTCGGTGCATTATTTGGCTATTTCGCGCGCTTTTTGGCAATGACGTAAATGACGTACATGTAATATGCTATGTGTGACTATGCACGATACATCAGTGGAGTGTGGTGCAGTGTTGAAGATTTATTGAAGATTTATCATGTTCACCGCTCACATATTAATTTATACATATGGGAAAAGAAATAAATGCAAATATAAAAATAGTTTATATATGTACAATTCGAATATAAAATAGATAAATAGCTTGGAATTATATGAAAGACATCAATTTGATATCTTTGTTTCTTGATTTTTCACATCTGTAGATCCTGTAGATGCAGCTAGCTGAATGAGAACCTTATCCTTTGGTACATTATCACCTATTGAGCATAATATATTATCCACTCTGCCATTTGTGGATGCTCTGATAATGTGCTGCAAATGAATGATTCATTTTTACTGGTAATGTATGAAATTTTTTACACTGGTTATTGAAGGGGAGTTAAACATACTTCCATCTTCATGGCATTAATTACAAGTAACGGGTCTCCATTTTTTACTACATCTCCTTTTGCGACAAATAATTTATCTATGCAACCAGGCATAGGACTCAAAGCTTTGCTGGGGTCACTCTTGGTATCATTATCCACAGAGTCGTCAAATTTCATACGAGATATATTAAATTGCCACCCACAATCCTATGAAAGCCAAGAATTATTAACATTTTCGTGATTAAATCGTAGTAAAGTATAAAAAGCAAAGATACCAACCTTGGTAAATAAGTATAATTTGTCTCGAATCTTATGTACTTTTGACCTCGTAATCGTCTCATCGATTTCAGCACATAATTCCAAGGTATCTTCCTTTTTCTTTAATATACCCGATACTTTTCGCCATTGACCAATCTCATTGATTCTCATAGTATAAACTTCCGGTTCGATGTATTTTACTTCGACCTTGATCTTGCTGTCGCAAACATTGAAGGAGTAAGTACTCGTTAAACTATGATTCAATCGGAAGCCAATTTCCGTTGCGAAAGGGCTCAAAGGATCATTCGTTGCAAGGGAAGACCGTAGAGATTGCGTGTCTTCATAAAGTATCAAGGCAAGTGCAGCCTGAGCTGCAACTTCGCTCGGTATTTGTAATTTTGGAAATAACTTTTCATAATGTTCATCAATGAATCCTGTGTGTACTTGACCCTGACGAAAATCAGGATGAGAACATAAGCTCTTAAGAAATTCTATGTTAGTATCGAGTCCTGCTATCTGAAAAATATACATATAGAAATTATAGTATTGAATCGTGACTGTCTTCGTTAGTTTCGAAAATAAACTTACATTATATTCATTCAACTTTGACCGAAGTACAGCTAACGCTTCTTCTCGATCTTTACCCCAGATGGCCAGTTTCGCGATCATTGGATCATAATGTATGGAAACTTCGTCTTTTTCACGAACTCCAGTTTCGACTCTGATAGCATCACTGGTAATTTTCGGTGTTCTCAGATACGATAGTTTCCCCGCTCCTGGTAGGAAATCTTTTTTGGGATTCTATGATTAATTATAATCAGAAATCAATTCAAGCTAGATTAAAGAGAAAGAATTTCATGAAAGTATTATCACCTCAGCGTATATTCTCGCTTCAAAAGCATGTCCTCGATGATTAATATTACTTTGTGTTAATGGAAGTTCGTTTCCAGCTGCCACTCGTAACTGCCACTCTACCAAATCTAATCCGGTGATTGCCTCTGTGATGGGATGTTCTACTTGAAGACGCGTATTCATTTCCATGAAGTAAAACTTGTTTTGATCACGATCCATTATAAATTCGACGGTACCGGCGCCAACGTATCCTACAGCTTTTGCCGCTTGCACCGCTGTCATGCCTAAATTCGACCTTAAATTTGCTGAAATACCGGGCTACGGCATACCACGATCACTTTGTAACCGATTTTTATAATACTAAACAGTGTTTGTTGGAAAGATTCCAATATACATACGGCGGGAGCTTCTTCGATGATCTTCTGATGCCGTCTTTGAACAGAACAATCTCTCTCGAACATGTGGACAACATTTCCATGCTTGTCCGCAAATACTTGCACTTCAATATGTCTGGGATCACAGATATACTGTTCAAGCAGAACTGTCGAATCGCCGAATGCTTTTATAGATTCGGTCCTCGCAGATTCTAAACCTTCAACGAATTCCGATTCTTTCGAAATGATTCTCATCCCTTTGCCTCCTCCGCCGCGTACAGCTTTTATCATTAAAGGGAAACCAATTTTCTTAGCTTCTTGTATCAAAGTTTTATTCGATTGATCTTCTCCGTGGTATCCTAATTGCATTAAGTTAAATTTAAATAAGCTTTTATATCGTTTTGCGTAAATGCGGGAATATGTGATGTAACAAGTGTATTAAAATTAAATACCAGCTATAACAGGAACTCCAGCTTCCATCATGATATTCTTTGAAGTATTTTTAATACCCATGCTGTGTATTGCGCTCGCCGGAGGTCCAATAAAAATAATGTTTTCCTTTTGGCAGAGCTCCGCAAATTCCGTATTCTCTGAAAGAAATCCATATCCAGGATGTATAGCCTGACACTTTGATTTTTTTGCTATGGATATAATTTTATCCTGTCTTAAATAGCTCTGGCTGGAGGGTGCAGGACCAATGCAGTACGCCTCATCTGCTTGCTCTACGTGCAGAGCATTTTTGTCCACTTCACTATATACTGCTACAGTTCTTATGCCCAAGAGTTTAGCAGTTCTTGAAATACGACATGCAATCTCCCCTCTGTTTGCAATTAGAATCTATAATATAGAGATGATTTTATACATATATTTTTACAAGTTCTCTAATGATTTGAATGTTTCCTTACATTTCCTTACTTTATCGATTCTGGTAATTACAACTTTTGAGTTTTCCTTGTGCAAATGACGTATGTGCACAGCGAGTGGATGAAATCTGAATATTGTAAGGAATGTATGATTACGAAATCTCACAAAAACACGAACGTATTAGACAGATTTTATCTTACGTAATCACTTACAACAAAATAGGTGTTTTCGTTCGGTACATGATGCTTTTTCTAGATAGGAGAGACTAGGTTAACTAGTCTTAATTCCCGTTGTTAAAACAATATGATTTAATCTATATGCTATATTTTCCATTCGTAATTCTCTAGCAATCGCTAACCAATGTCAAAAGGTCATGCATGTATCAAGGGGCGCGGTAGCGGCCCGAAGGCAAGTTTGATATATATCCTTATCAGTCATTGCGTGGCTGGAGTGGAATGTATGTGCTTGCGTGTATGGAATGTATAATGCATAATTGTATGTCACATTAATCACGTAAATTGTTAAAGAAATGAAAAATTGAAATTATATCTTTTGATCATATTTTTAGTCGATTTGATATTAAATATAAAAAGAAAAATGGCCCATGAGGGGATCGAACCCGCGACCTTCGCGTTATTAGCACGACGCTCTAACCAACTGAGCTAATAGGCCTTGACATGAAGCACGTCCTGATTACGAAAAGAATTCTACTTTGGAAATGAACAAACAATACTTCAACAGTAAATAAATTTTGAATATGTCGAGGTATGCAAAAAAGAAAAGAAGTATGCATATTTAATTTAAAATTTTATTAAACGATAGAAATATCATTACAAGCTCAATCTGATTTTACTGGAGACTCTATTAAACTCATAAGAACACAATCGGCTTCTAAAAGTGTTAAATCACTAGAAGCTCCTAAGAATCTTGTGGATAATTCCAAATCCTTTATCCTTAGCTTAACTTTTGAACCTCTGACATATTTACTGAAACATTGAGATTCTCATTGTTATTTAATAAAAATAAAAACTGCTTGTAACTTACTTTGGATCCTTTTTTGGCCTTGGACATACGCAATGAAATTTCCATCCAAAATCAATGTATAAATCGTCATCAACAACATGAAAAATTTCGCCTTGTACTATTCTATTTTCAGGGTCTCCTAACTGAAACGCAATTAACAGTAATAACGCAAACACAAAGAGTAACGTTCAACATTGCTATTTTAATGAATTATTTAATACACTTACGTCAATAAATTTTGAATATCGAAGCAATGAAATAAACGAAGTGCGCTTCGGT